GTGCGCCCGGGACACACACATATATATATATATATATATATATATATAGAGAGAGAGAGAGAGAGAGAGAGAGGGTATACACACAATGCAAAATGAACACATTGTTTTGTTTTCTCTTTTCTTATATGTCTCACTTGCTCAGTTAAGCAGCTGATTGACTGTAGCAGCACCTGTCAGAGAAACACACTGTCAAGTTGAACAGGAGGTTCAGGCCACATTTGATAGAATGAAGCCAAGAAAAAACAGACAGCAAGCAGCAGCAGTAGCCTTACACGTATTATCTTTCATTTCTTCTTCTTTTCCAGTCGTGCCAACGCTGAAAATAAGTTTGTGTTCGTCCAACCATTTGATGACTGTTTGAGCTGCTGTCAATGGCTGTTATCTCTAACCCGCTCTGTGGATCTGAGTGTTCAATGATCAAATGTTTTTCATGGTTGAAATAATAATGGACGTTCATTGGTGAATGTGTTTTCAAAGATTGTGCTGCGTGTTCTTGGGAAGAGTTCTTGAGTTCATCTGTTTTTGCTCATAGACTCAAGTTGCTTTTGGCCTTTTATTGACTCTACAGTGACATATATTTGCGATTTAAAGGCAAACTCATTCACTCATTAACACAGGGGAACATTGAGTAGGAGTGAAAATCATTACCGCAGGCCTGTGTGTTTCATTTACAATTCACTCGACTCATTTGGGTCGGTAATCTTCTTTTATAAGTCCGTTCTAGATTTACTGCACAAGACACGTGGAGCATACACAAATAAATGAAGTTAGACAGCTCAAGTGCATTTTAAACCTTGTAAAACGGCTCTTGCAGTGTCTTTGGCTCTGGATATTTAAGCATGCTGTATATTCAATGAAATGGCAAAAGCCATGATTCTGGAGACATGCAACAAAATAGACAATAGAATGCAAAAAGTTGAAAATTTAACATAACTTTTAAAAACATGTAAAATGTATTAGCATTTTTTTTTTTTACAAAATGTGTTTTTTCCCCTCATCATTTTATGTAAACACAAGGGTTATTATCATTAACTAAAACTAAAAACATTTGAAAATAAAAACTTGCGTGAAATTAAATACAAATATTTAAATAAAAAACAAAACATTAAATTGTGCATTAAAATGATTAATATATATTATATTAATAATAAACTGTATATAATTAATATGTGTATATATAATTATTTTTTAATGATAATTTATATATAATTATTAATACATATAAAAAATAACTTATTTTATTTCAGATATTCAACAAGGCAACATTTCTCATTTTCATTTAAAGTTCTAAAATCCTGAAGTAAAACGAAATATATGTATACAGACATATTTATAAAAATCTAATTAATAAAATAGAAAAGAAAAAACAAAAAAAATACTAAAACTGTAACTAAAATTAAAATGAAAACATAAAATCTCATTCAAAATATTAACAAAAGCTAGAATAATTTTTACTAATTATACTAAAATAACACTAGTCAACACTGTCAGATTGATTGATTGACAACCTTCAGGATAAAGACTGATTTGCTATTATCTGATTTTCTAAATGTTTTCATAAATATAAAAATGTAAGGACACAGCTGTGAATCCTTAATAAACGTTTTTTTTTATTAACCATTTTCATTCTGTCAAGACATAGTCGCAATGTTTCTTTGAAAGATACTTATTTCTGTTTCTGTTTAAGTTGAATAGAAATTTGATTGAGTATGAAGGTGTTATGGTGTCATAATTTTGATAAAATAAACAGTAAATCAATCTGTTAATTGCATTCTCTGATTTTTGTGTGTGTGTGTGTGTGTGTGTGTAAATGTTATTTTCAAACATTGTGAGACATTTTTTGCCCCATGTCTTAAAGTATAGAAATGTGTATCCTGTATGGTATTTTCCTCACTGGGTTGTGTTGTTTCTTCAGTCTTCCAGCTCGTCTCAGGAGCGGCTGCATCAGTTGCCGTTCCAGCCCACCCTGGACGAGCTGCACTTCCTGTCCAAACACTTTGGCAGCACTGAGAGCATCACTGATGATGACGGACGGAGATCACCGCAAGTGCGACCGCGCTCACGGAGTCTCAGGTACACAATCACACATCGATGTCTTAAGCACATTTCAACCAATTTATGACAAATGTCTCTTAGTCATCTTTTATTTTCCTTCTCTCTGTTTTTCTCTACAGTCCAGGGCGATCACCTTCCTGTTACGACAGTGAGATTGTTATGATGAACCATGTTTATAAGGAGCGGTTCCCTAAGGTTAGCGAAACATAAACACACACTTCAGACTAAGGGGCCGTTCACATATCGCGTCTTTTGCGCGCTCAAGTTCGTTATTTCAAATGTAGACGCGCGGCAGGCGCGCTCATAATGGAAGCGGCAAAACATTTCAACTTTTCAGAATGCCGCAAGCGCACCGCGGGTCATGTGACAAGAACCAACCAATCAGCTTCATCCTTTCCCGTAACAACATTGAAAGCTCAGCCAAGATGAACGAACAGCTGATCATAGCTGTACAGGGATAGCTACTGCAAGCGATTTTTAGTGCTGCAAATCCATTTATCTTTTGCTGAAACTTCCGAGTCTTCATGGAGAGCGCGGGTCATCGTTGCTTAGCAACGGCAGACGCCTCCGGAGCACAAGCACCCGAGCGCTTTGGAAAAGAGCAGAAAGCGGCGTGCCTAGCGTTTTCCACGTGTTTTTAGGCGCGACATGTGAACGGCCCTTAATATGAGATTATTAAAGGGGTCATGATATAAGAAATCACATTTGCCTTGATCTTTTGTCTTTATACCAAAAACGGCTCATTTGGATATTGTGGGATTTGTGACATCACACAGGCAAATACCATCTCAGGAGCAAGACATCGACAAATAGTTATACAGCATCACACCATAGGCCCCGCCCACTGGCTTTCAGTCACTTAAAGGGACGGTTCACACAAAAATAAAAATTCTGCCATCATTTATTCACCCTCAAGTTGTACCTATATGAGTTTCTTTCTTCTGCGGAACACAAAAGATGATATTTTGAAGAATGTTGGTAGGTAAACAGATTTGGCTCCCATTGACTTCAGTTGTACAGACAAAAATTACAATGGAAGTCAAAAGGGACCGAAACGGTTTGCTTACCAGCATTCTTCAAAATATCTTCTTTTTTTTTCAGCAGAAGAAAGTCACATGGATTTGGAACGACACAAGGGACTGTCTCTTTAAGAGGCTTTAGTGTTTTTAAAATCATATAATTTGTGAATCCATGCACTTGCAGCACATTAGATTTGCCAAACGTTATTTAAGCGTTGCAGATACCTTTTGCCTGCATTGCCTTTTTCACATTTTTGCCACACCAGTGATGTTTCACCCCAAAATCAAATATTTAATCTTTCATTTAATATGAAATCTTATTGTGAATGAAAAAAATGTCGTTTTTAGGACCAAGAGTTATTGCATTATTTTCCGGAAATATTGACGTGTTAATTTTAGACCCGAGTTTGTCTGTAATTGAGCTCAGAATATAGTCCCTGTTGAAGGCAATATTTAAATGTTGTCTGTTACCTTCAGGCCACGGCTCAGATGGAGGAGCGCTTGGCTGAGTTCATCGAGTCGTACTCACCTGAGAACGTGCTGCCGCTGGCTGACGGGGTCCTCAGCTTCATCCACCACCAGATCACCGAGCTGTCCCGAGACTGCCTGACCAAATCTCGTGAAGGCCTCATCTCCACCGTCTACTTCTACGAGCTGCAGGAAAACCTTGAGAAGCTGCTCCATGAAGTGAGCATATGTGTGGGCTGGATGTGTGTGTGGTTTCAGCTTATATGAATTGATATCTCACTTTACTTGACTGCATTATTCAATTGTTTTATTAGTTCCATAATATTTCATTAACTCAATGTTTGTTTGTTTAAAGAAATTACCTAGTCAATATCTAGTTAAAAGGATCATTTATAATGGATTTTTTTATTGCATCTCTAATTACTGTTTTTTTTTTTTTACGAATTGTGTTGTAATATCAGAAATTTTAATTCCACACCATCAGACATCATTGCAAAATTCACTATTCATAAATATTTTAATACTTATTTTAATAAACATTAAAATATGAAATATTGTAATAAATAAACATTTAAAAAATATTGTTCAGTGACATGTTGACAACAGAAACCCTACAAATGAAAAATTAAATGTCACACGCTTGTGCTTACATGAAAAATCAATCTAAAGTAATGATAAAAAAGGCAAATTATTTGTAAAATGAAATACAATGGATATTTATTCATTTGTTTGGTAATTTAAGAATTAATAATTTTAAGGATTTTAAGTTATTATTAAGTATTTCATGATGTATTTAATTATTTATTCAAATGTGACCCTGGAGCACAAAACCAGTCTTAAGTCGCTGGGGTATATTTGTAGCAATAGCCAAAAATATATTGTATGGGTCAAAATTATTGATTTGTCTTCTATGCCAAAAATCATTAGGATATTAAGTAAAGATCATGTTCCATGAAGATATTTTGTAAATTTCCTACTGTAAATATATCAAAACTTAATTTTTGATTAGTAATATGCATTGCTAAGAACTTCATTTGGACAACTTTAAAGGTGATTTTCTCAATATTTCCAGATTTTCAAATAGTTGTATCTCTGCCAAATACTGTCCTATGATAACAAAACATACATCAGTGGAAAACTTATTTATTCAGCTTTCAGATGATGTATAAATCTAAATTTCGACCCAAAATTGACCCTTATGACTGGTTTTGTGGTCCAGGGTCACAAATATTTTAAATATCTATTGAATTGTTTAATTCGGAGTAATTTGGCCCTCCATACATTATGGCCATGATCAAATCTTTTCCTTGAGCTTCAAATTTAGTAACCAACTATATATTTTTCTACAAAACTCATTTCAAGCATCCTAAAAAATATAAAATCACTCAAGTGTGACCGAACTGTTGACTGACCGTGTAGATGAAATGATTTTTAATTTTCCCATTAAGATTTTTCAGAGATTTCAGTAGTCAAAAGTATCTCTAACTGAAGAATCACCCACATATGAATACTTTTTTAATTTAATGGTCTTGTGATATCTGTCAGGCCTATGAGCGATCAGAGAGCTCAGAGCTGACCTTCATCGCAGAGCTGGTGAAGAAACTCTTCATCATCATCTCCCGTCCTGCCCGACTGCTTGAATGTCTGGTGAGAGTCTACACACACACACACACACACACACACACACATACACACTTGATCTGCCGGTCGCTGGGCTTGGTCGCTTTTTCAGCCTACTTTGTGCAGTTGTCATGGCAACTGGCTGATGGGGTCACCAGGGGTCAGGAGAAGAAAGTACAATGTGCTGAAAGGCTTGAGTGTAACAAAACCCTCGACTGGTTTTATCAAACACAAAAGGTCCCCTGAAAATGTGTCAGTAGTGCAATCATTGGAAATATGGATCAGTGGCTAAATAAATAATATGGATCACCAGATAAATACATATGTGGACATGAAATATTGAGTTATTTTGGTAACACTTTACAGTAAGTTCCCTTTAGTGAACGATAGTAATGCATTAAATAGCATTAACTAACAATCAGTAATAGATTTGTTACAGTGTTTATTAATCTTTCTTAACATTATTTAATCAAAATAAAACTGTTAATTTTTGGTTCATGTTAACTCAGGTCCACTAAATATTAAGACATACAATTTTGATTTTAATAATGTATTAGCAAATGTTGAAATCTAAAATTCATGAATTATTTGTTTATTATTATTTTAGTATTTTTAATTCTTAGTTCATGTATTACAGTTTCCACAAAAAAATATTAAGCAGCACATTTTAGAATGATTTCTGAAGGATCGTGTGACACTGAAGACTGGAGAAATGATACTGAAAATTCAGCTTTGCATCACTGGAATAAATAACATTTTAAAATATATTCAAATAAAAAACAGTTATTTAAAACTGTAATAATATTTCATAATATTACTGATTTTACTGTATTTTTGATCAAATAAATGCAGCCTTGGTGAGCATAAGAGACTTCTTTCAAAGGTATTGAAAAGATCTACAAACGCCAAACATTTGAACAGAAGTGTATTGAGTGCAGAATGCAGCAATTGACCAAAAATGCTAATATTTCCGTGTTTCTTCAGGAGTTTAACCCCGAAGAGTTCTATCACCTTCTGGAGGCAGCAGAAGACCACGCTAAAGAGGGCCAGCTAATGAAAGCAGACATCCCGCGATACATCATCAGCCAGCTCGGCCTGACCAGAGACCCTCTGGAAGGTGAGCGAGAGACGAACACGACTGAACATCCTCACAGTGAGCGTGTGTGTCTCTGGAGGGAAAGAGCGTAGAAGAAGCCGGGGAGAGGAAGGGAAATGTAGGTCATACTGAGAGACATTGTTGAGATTATCGAGCAGGTTAAGGTGGTGCACAGGCGGTGGGAAGTTTGTATTCCTGCCAAGAACACAGGGAGATGTGTAAGCACCGCTGTGAACCTGGCAAACAGCAGCCGGCTCTGAGTAATGGGGCTTTTTATAAAAACATACACTTACTCGCTCTCACTGCACAACTAAACACAACAAAACACTTTTCAGGCAGAAAATTCACTGTGTGAATTTTCTCTTCTATCCCAGCTTAATTTACAGATATATGTAAGACGTTTTTATGTTCATTTCACCCTATAAACAATGTGACTCAGTCCTCTGTTTCAGCATCTCATCAACCCTAATTAGTAGCATTTAGGCCATTGACTGACCAATGGCAGACTGATGTAGCATTTGAAAAATAATCATTATTTTTGCTGTTCAATTTAGTGCTGCTAATGGCATATAAGAATGATTTCTGAAGGATCATGTGACACTGAAGACTAGAGTAATTATGCTGAAAATTCAGCTTTGCATCACAGGAATAAATGACATTTTAAAGTATATTCAAATAGGAAACAGTTCTTTTAAATTGTAATAATATTTTACAATATTACTGTTTTTAATGTATTTTTCAAATAAATGCAGCCTTGTTGAGCAAAATCTTGTCTTTCATAAAAATTAAAAATCTTACTGACTGTAAACTTTCGAACAGTTGTGTATTTTATTATTATTATTATTATTATTATTATTATTATATATGCATTATATATCCATTTAATTGATTTAACTTTATTTGACTAGGATCTTTAGGCTATTTTAGGTTATTAATTGGCCTAGAAACATGTCAAACTTCTAAAACAACTCATTTATGTAATTTTATTCCTCAAAGCCAGTACATGTTTATTGCATAGTAAAAATGTATTAACCAAACATGATTCTTGAATGCAGAAATGGTGAATTTGGAGAGTTATGACAGCGAGGGACCCCACACGCCGGAGACGGACGACTCTGCTGAAGTGAGTGTATTAATATAATCATGTTTATATTGTTTTGCGATGATTGCGAAAGATTGCAACTTTTACCTACTAGTTATTTAAGAGAAAAAGGGGGTGAAAAAATAGATCAAGATGTGTTATATAAGCCTGCAATTTTCTCACTCTTTAACATGGAAACATATTTTTAATGAAGGAAAAGCACAACTGCAGCGCGGCTGGGATTCAGGATAAAAGTGGTAGAAATGAAACGGCACAGGGAGTGAAATTATACTCAAGTTGATTTATTTCCCCTGCACTGAATCCTATATCTGGCTTTCTCTCAGGGGAAGCTCAAAGTCAAACCGCCCTGTGAATCAGACTTCCAGACTATCAAACTCATCAGCAATGGAGCATATGGGTGAGAATATCGCTATTCACTCTCAAATTACTCTGAAATGACTCAAAACCATTGTGTAAATATGGATAAAACCGATCTCTCCCTCTCGTTTGGATCGTAGAGCTGTGTATTTAGTCAGACACAGAGAGACGCGGCAGCGCTTTGCTATGAAGAAGATCAACAAACAAAACCTGCTCTTGCGGAACCAGATCCAGCAGGCGTTCGTGGAGCGGGACATCCTGACCTTCGCTGAGAACCCCTTCGTGGTCAGCATGTTCTGCTCTTTTGAGACGCGCCGTCACCTGTGTATGGTTATGGAGTATGTGGAGGGTAAGACATTACGCTCATTCAGCAGTTGAATGAATCCTAATTACTACACAAAACTCAGATTTTACTCAGTATTCAGCCAATTAAAAACACTTTATTTTTTGTTTAGGTGGTGACTGTGCAACACTGCTAAAGAATATAGGAGCACTTCCTGTGGAAATGGCCCAGATGTACTTTGCTGAAACAGTTTTAGCGCTGGAGTACATTCATAATTATGGCATTGTACACCGAGACCTGAAACCAGACAAGTAAGTCAGCGCCCCCTGCTGGAGTGGAGATCACAATTGAAAACAACATATTGATCTAAAGTGCTGTGCAATATAGAAAAAAACTATACTGCAAAAGCATCTTTTACACATTTCCAAAAGTATAAAGATGCTTCACTCATTATAATGCCACCATACATGTAACCCGCAAATATCCTATGTAGAGTTGACTATATAGAGTGCATTCATTCAGCAGCATTTGTTACTGAAGTATTTTTCCCGTTCATTTTTCTCTTTTTAGTTATAAGCCATAAACCAAACCAACCAGCAACAAGGTGAATCATAAGTTCACTTTACAAACTTTGATTTCAGACAAAAAAATTATTTGAAAATCGGACTAAAAAACAAAAGTAGAAGACTGTGTGCTTAATGGCTTTCATAAGTGAAAGAATTACAAACACATAAAGCACTGCAAATGACATCATTGATTTCAACAGATTAGAAAACTACTGATTTAAAGAATTTGATTGTGTATGTAAAAAAGTATTTTAAGTTTAATGGAAAATATGCATGCATATATATATATATATATATATATATATATATATATGTATATATATGTGTGTG